CCCTGGACCCTCAGATTAAAAGTCTGATGCTCTACCGACTGAGCTACCCAGGCTTCAGCAGGATGGACCTTCAGTACCTTTGCTCAATGAAACCAGGCGTGTACACTCAGAAGAGATCATAGTTTGATATTCTAATAAAATCTACCAACTCTTTGATGGTGATGGAGGTGGGGATCTCGGTCCAGAGCCGGGCGAACTTGACAGGGGTCACCAGTTCCTGAGGGTCTCGGTCAACATGGGCGTGCAGCATGAGGCGACAGAAAGACGCCCGGAGGTCAAAGGGCAGCGTCTCGTCCATCATGCACAGGAAGATGAGCTCCACGTCCAGCTGCTTGGAGATCTCATCAATAGCCAGATACTGCCGGTCCAAACACATCCGGGCAAACAGCTTCAGCTGGTACCTGAGGAGGTCCATGGAGGCACACAGGCTCCATCAGGTTCACTTTCTTACAAACTGCTGGCGATGTTTTCATGACGCCACCTGTGTGGCTGTACCTGTAGTAGGTGAGGACGTTCTCGTCATGAGCGTTGCCTTGTCTGGCCTCCTGAGCCAGCTGTCTGATGCTCTTCTCCTGCCTCTCGTTGGTCTTATCTGTCCACACCAGCCACACCTGCAGCGAGACGCAAGAACGCCATCAACACTAAAGCAAAACAGGCTGTTTCCTAAACCGTCCATCCAAACTCTTTCTTAGCAACAGGTGTTTATTATTGCATATGAGTTTATATCTATTACATCATATTAGTGACATGTCACAATATTCACATACTGAAACGCTGTATATGCTGCAGGTTAGCTGGTTTAGACGGATGTAACTGCTAGCATTATCATGTTTAGGCTAACTTAGCAGCTTATGTTATCTTACTGTGACTAACCTAGGGGCTAACATTATCTTGCTCAGTTGAACATGACGGCTAATATTATCTCTTTAGGCGAATAGTGGCTAACATTACTTAGATTAGACTAATGTAATTTTTAGGTGAACCTAGCTGCTAACAGCTTGTTTAGGCTAACTTAGCAGAAAATGTCTGAATTAAGGACATAACAAAGATCGACGGTGTTTATGTCACCGATTACTAATCCTGTTAAATAAAACACATTGTACCAATGACCAACCAGGTTTCTGCGGTGTTTTTGGTATTTCTGGCATCTCTTGAGATGTTTCATCACTCAGTTTGTAACGTTGGATTAAAATACAGGCAGACGTACCTCATCCTCGTCGCCAAAGTCATCCATCCCCATGTATTCTCCCTGAACACCACCAGGAGGCGACTCTCTCGGCATGCGACGTCTAAAGCAACAGAACAATTGCTGTATCAGGTCGTCATTTAAAAATCAATAGGAACAGATGTTGAGTATTCTGGTTTTACTAAATGTGCGTCACAGCAGCAAACAGAAAACTACGCTGCCCCCTGCTGGTTGGAGAACAGATGAACTGACCCACTTAAGCTTTCCCTCTGTAGAAACAAATGAACGTCCAGTGCAACGTACAGTGAAGCTGACATGATCTGATTTCTCACTCTGTCTTGATGAGGATGTCCTGGTTTTTGGGGTCCAGCACACATTTACAGATGAGCTCCTGGGTGACGGGGATGGCCACGTTGTTGGACACGCAGAGGTCCGACAGGTAATCCAGGAACCTGCACAGAACATCACGTCACAGCTACAAGACCACAGAGACCAGCTGGTGGCAGCAGAGTTTAGACACCTTCCAGCAGCACATTCAACATCATCAAGAAAGTTCAATCAAACAGCAGAATAGTGCAGGATGTCATGTCAGCATCAGGACCGGTGATGTTCAGCAGACGACTACGAAGTGAGCATTTCTCCATCCTACGAAACGTGCTTCTTGGACTCGAGCGTGAAACAGGACAACAAGGAGAACATACAGACGACACACTGCTGCGATCACACGAACACGTATGGTCTGATCTGGGCCTGCAGAGAGGATCTACCTGGGTTCTCGGTTCTTGCGGACCAGGCTGACGAAGGTCTCCACCTCTGTCTTGGTGATGTGTTTCTCCAGCAGCTTGCGGTTGTTGTGCAGCAGGGCGGTGATGGTGTCTTCGGCCAGGATGTCATAGCCGATCTGACTCTGCATGACGCCGAACTGCTTGGCGATGTGTTCCTGCAGTGGAGTCGTGTCTACCGTCAGCATCGAGAACCAAAGACCTGAACCCCAACCGGTGCCAGCATCCTGTTCTCCTTACCTGGTTCTTGCGGTAGTCCTCCTGGGAGTGTCGCAGGACTCGGTAGCAGAGTCTGAACATGTACTGGTATGGAGTGTTCTTCTGGTCGGCCAGCTCCTCCAGACGCAGCAGAGGACCTTCACCACCTCCTCGATCCTTAAAGGGGGTCTTCAGGATGCCAAAGATCTGAACAAACAACAAAGTCTTGGTCAGCTGGTTGTCTCGTTCAACAGAAGATCTGAATAAAGTCTGGACAGGAGTTATTCTGAATGGACTCTCGTATTGCAGAGTTCTGAGCCGTATGTTCAGACCTGCTTCAGGATGTTCTGCTCCCTCATCAGCTTCTGTCTCTCTCGGTTTGCTTTCGTCATGACGACATCCAGAACCGACTGACCGCTGTTGATGACATCGGCCACGAAGAACACGACGTCCTCCAGCAGCTTGATGGCGAATCTGACAAACAGAGAGCGGAGAGCGTTAGCTGGTCCTCAGCTTCCTGCCTCGCCTCGGCTCGGCTCGGTGGCGTCCTACCTTCTGTCGTTCTGGCTGATGAAGCCCTGGAGGAACTGGTCCACCACCGTGCTCAGCATGGCGCTGGCGTCGTTGGCGAAGTCCAGGTCTCTGATCTCCATCACCGGAACGGACACGATGGCGAACGCCTCCTTGTCCTCTTTGGTGGGACATGTTCCCAACTACAGGACGAGTTAACAGCAAGTCACATGTTTGAATCGTTTCTGTCACTGAGTTTGTAAAAAAAGACATTTTAGGTCTCTGGTGTGTCTGTTAAACGTAGAACTTTTACTGTAGCTGACGTTTAAATATCAGTTTTTCATTTAAGCTTCGGCTGGATTCTGGTTTTTCTCTTTTAAATAAAAAAAATGTAAATAGACAAAAAAGTGGATGTTTGATAAAATAAGATTTACTGAACATCGAGTGGGAGTTAACACACAATTCAGCTTCAGTTTGATTTAATCTTATTTCTGTCCCTGAACGCTCTTTGGCTTGTGTTTGAAATGTTCTGTATCCCAACGATGGCAAGACAAGACGACGACACTATCACACATTTGACTTTTTTTCTTTCTCATTCAATAATGAATATTCTGGACTTTAAAATATCCTGAGCAGCATCTAGAACATAAGCTGCATGCGTAAACAATCTGTGCAATCCTGTGTTTTCTACAGTTAGTATTTATGTATATCTTGGTTTATTTAGGTTTGTTTTTATGGTTGTGATGCTGCTGTCATGTTTAGTGCACTTAAAGGTTTATCTTATCTTATCTTATGTAACCAGCTAATGATCGTGATGCTTTTTGTCGTTTATTTTATTGATCATCTCACCATCAGTCTGATCGGTCGCTCCTCGTCGATGTCGATGGGAACGTTGGTGCTTTGGATCCAGGTGTTGGTGCAGAGATGTCGCAGTCGGACGTACGAGTTTCTGAAAAACAATCCGAATAAATCTGCTTAAGTCACGTCGGTGTGAAACTCGGCAGCATCGATCCGAGTGAACGTCGGCAGGAAATGTTAGCAGCTCACGAGCTTTAGAAAACTGTAAGAACTGTTGTTGTTTTATTAATAAATTAATAAATGTATCTGAAAATGTATAGAATTAAAAATATTCAAATACATGAAATAAAACATTGGACTCGATAAAATAATATAATTTTTGGAACCGTCTCGCTTCCTTCGTTCCCACCTCGGTACGAAGGAGTCGGTTTTCTGCAGAGTCGTCGGGTCGAGCTCGAACAGCGACGCGATGTCGTTGCCGTGAGGAACCGCCACCAGTTTGTACTTGATCCTCTCGCCATGAGAACGCTTGTTGCTACGACTACCGTCCATCTACAGGAGGTCAGAGGTCAAAGGAAGCAGAAATATGAGGTGAAAAGCAGCGTGTCGTCTGTAAACCTGAGTCTCTGATGTGGTTCACTGATAAACAAGAAGTGGAAGTAGAAGAGGACCGATGGTGGAGCCCTGAGGAATGATGTGATTTGCTAAATGAAACTTGAACACAAAGATACACAAACACACAAATACACACATTAAACAAAAAAACCCAAATCCATGAATGCACCATTCACACAAACACACAGAACTAAAACAGACAAAAAGAAAAACACACAATCTCTCACAACGCAAATATAAACACAAACAGAAACACAAAAATACAAACGCAAACAAAACTGTACAAACACAACAACACAAACAAACACACACACACAACAACACAAACAAACACACACACACACAGCTGTAAGGTTTCGACTCACCGACGATGTCAGCTCTGCGTTGTCGCCTTTATAACCCGGGTTCTCCTAAACAACAACAACAACAACAACAGATGATTGAACGGACTCTATGTGCTGCAGGAGAACAGGTTTATTTACTTCTTCAGGTATGAAAACAAACTGACTCGACATCACAGACTCGTTCTAGTTTGTGACCTGCTGGAACTTTTTATTCCTGATTTAACGACACAATAAAAATAAACAAACATTCACACGTTTAACTGTTTCCTTCTTTCACATCCAGCCTCACTCAGTCATCCGGCTGCGTTGCCATGGTTACCTCAGCAGCCAGGTAGTTTCCGGTCGCCAGGTGTTTGAAGCGGTACAGGCTGTTCCAATGCCCCGCCCCCCCACGGCACGGGTCATGATGGACGACCTGACGGACCAATCAGAGAGAAGTTTGGAGGGAAGTCACTGTTTTTCTGTATTTTGTGTTTGTTTGTGTAGTATTTGTGAGTTTCTGTATTTCAGTGTTTGTCTTTTAGTGCTGATGTCAGTAATGATCACCGGTGAGGGAGAACGGTGATGATCGATACCTGATACACATTAAAAGTAATCTATTACCAGCGTGTGATGCAGGAAGTGGTGACGCAGAACTCGTCCACTTTCAATTCAATTCAAGTCAATTTTATTTGTATAGCGCATATTTACAACAACAGTCATCTCATAGCGCTTCACAAAGACAGAGACACCAAAAAACCAAAAAACCGGAATCCCCTAAAACCTCAACAAGCCGCCGGGGGGAACGAAACCAAAAACCCCCACAGATAGTCATTAATCACCATTAATGAATGTGTGCAGCAGAAACAGGAGTGATGACATCAGAGCATCATGTGACTCTATAACGTTCTCCTGTTTACTGATCGGTCGATCGGATCCAGGTCCAGGTCCAGGTCCAGGTCCAGGTCCAGCAGGCCTCACATCATCATCTGTTTGCTGACTTTAGCTGCCCTGACAGATCCTATCTGTGACTTCAGGGTTTCTGTGCCCTGAGCTCAGTCTCACAGGCTCAGTGGTAATGTCACCTGCAAGCCACCAGGCGGCGCTATCCTCCAGAGTCTCTGAGGGCACACCACATCGTCTGGTACATGTGAACAAGTAACGTTTGCTGGGTTTGTGGGTCGCTGACTAAACCTTTCCCGAAGGCTTGCAGGCAGCGTCGCGACAGTGAATGAACCTGTGAGCCTGAGCTCAGGGCAAAGAAACCCTGAAGTCACAGATACGAGTCTCTCACGGCAACAACAGTCCCGTGTCAGCCTGCTGGACCTGGACCTGGACCTGGACCTGGACCTGGTACCTGTCTGCCTGTCCAGCACTAGTAGCTCAATACTTTTATCTATGAAAGCTTCTTAAGCGTCGACAGATGTCACAGCAGACACACAGCTCTCCGTTTACTGACAGCTTCAGTCCAACAGGCCCAGACAGGAGCCGCTCAGAACCGCAGGAGGACGTTTGACTCAGAACCAATACCAACACCAACCATCTAAGAGTGACAAATATCAGCGCCAGTGATCCGTCGATCCGGTTTGTTTACTGCTCAGGACTGTTCTGTGTTCTTCTGTTTCTTGTCTTTGCCTCATTTAGTTTTTGTAAGTGTGTATTTTCTGATTGTGTATTTTGTGTGTGTGTGTGTGTGTGTGTGTGTGTGTGCGTACCTCCACCTCCCACAGGGCGTTGGAGCTGGTCGCCGACGTGGCCGACTGTCTCAGCGTCGTCCGCAGGAAAACGTGCAGTTTGCTTTTATACTCGTCGCAGGTCAGAAACTTTTCCTGTTCGGCGTGGAACAGACGCACGACGTCGCCCTGAGACACAAACAAACAAACAAACAAACAAACAAACAAACAAACAAACAAACAAACACAGCATCAGTCTGTGACACTCTGCGGGAGGTGAAGCTGGACTCAGCAGCTCTGAGGAGCAGCGAGAACATTCAGACCTTCTGCTCTACAGCGACGACACTGAACCGGGCTCACGGCAGCCGGTGGGTTTGAACATGAGGAAAGTTTTGGGACCAAATCAGAACCTCCCAGAAGATCATCAGACAGGAGCTCCTCATAAGGAGTCCATGAAGAGCTCCACGTCCTGGAGGCTTCTCCTGCTGCTGCTTCTAACACCGAACAAAACGTTAAGTCAGTGAATCTCCGTCAGCCTGAACATCTGGAGCTGAGCAGATGAAGCTGAGCAGATGAAGCTGAGCAGATGAAGCTGAGCAGGACTGGCTGGTTCCTGACAGGTTGGTTTCTCTGGAGGTGAGTCTGATGTGAATCAACAACAGCTCCTGGTTTCATCCTCATGATGCGACACCGGAGAGGAACCGAGAGCTTCCTGAACCAGCAGCACTGAGCAGCTTCATGTCCTGAAGCCTTCACTTCCTGTTTGTTCCTCTGAGAGCTGCTGAGTGACTGAACCAGAGCCTCTGACCCGTTTAACGAACCGGACCGCGGACTCACCCCTTTGAGGACCTCCTCTCGGTGGTCGCTGAACATCATGAACAGGTTGATCTTCCAGCTGGTGTTGCAGTTCACAGAGTTCACCTGCAGGAGGCGACAGACAGACAGATCCATGACTGGCATCAGGCAGCAGCAGTGTGTCTGCGGTGGTCGTAGTGTTGTGTGTGTTTCTGGTTGTTGTGTCTGTGTGGTTGTTGTGTTTTTGTGGTTGTTGTGTGTTTTTGGTTGTTGTGTGTTTTTGTGGTTGTTGTGTCTTTGTGGTTGTTGTGTGTGTCTGTGAGCTCACTGTGAGTCTGTGTCGTGCTGTCTTGTGTCTCTGGTGGTGGTTGTGTGACGTGTTTCAGTGGTTTTGTGTGTCTTTGTGCTCGTTGTGTCTCCGGGTGTGTTCAGGACCTCTTCAGGACCTTCATGTGAATCACTGACTGAACCTGAGTCTCGTCTGCAGCTAAACTCTGATTTATTTGCCGGTTCACCTCTTTGCATCCCGGGTGGTCGGTCAGCTCGTAGTTGGAGGCGTGCAGCGGCTGGCCGGCGTTCACCGGGTTCAGGATCACTTTGTCTCCAACGACCACCTGCAGGACCAGAACCTGAGTTACAGCAGATCAGCTGGAAGCACAAGAACTCCTCCACTACACCAGATTACCAGCTCTAATCACTTCCCATCACATGTTCTGATCCATAATAATCCAAATTAGTTCCTGTGATTCTGGATCTGCAGGAAAACCAGAACAAACTGAACACGTTTGGACTGAAACCGTTCAGAAAGAAAGTTTCTGTCTGAGAGATTCTTCATGTTCGACTTTAACTTTCCTGCTTTTATACTTTGATTTGAATGTTTATCACTTTTACAGTCACATCATTTATATTTGATAAATTATAGATTTATATATTTTATCTTTTTTATATTGTTTTTTTTAATTATGCATAGAAGTGATTTTATTTTATTTTTTGTATTTTACTGATTCTTAGTTTGATTTTTTTTATTTGATAGAAATTAAAATCAAAACATTTTCACATTTTTATTTAATTAACTTTGACTGTTTAAATTTTTTATTATTTTTTTTAATGTTATGTTTTGAGTAAACTTTGACGGTTTGAGGATTTTATAGATTTTTAAATAATTTTCAGGTTTATATATTTTGCAGGTTTTGACATTTGTGGATTTTTATACATTTTTTATTATTTTATTGTCATTTAACTGACTTTTGTTTTCATAATTTCCAGGTTTTCATATATTCTGTGTGTTTAAACACATTCTGATGTGTTTCTGTGTTGTGTCCTGACGGGGGCGCTGCAGGCCTCCTGTCGTGGCTCACGTTGTCTCCGTTGGCGCGCAGCTTCCAGAAGGGCTGGATGAAGAGCCAGGAGCCCTCGTTGCCCGTCCCGTCCAGCGTCACCCTCATGGCGTTCTTCTCCAGCAGCGCCGGCAGACGCTTGTTCACCGTCAGGTATTTGTTGCTCTTCATGTGCAGCAGCTGCAGACGCAGGCAGAGGTGAGCTGGAGGAAGACCAGAGCGACCCAAACCCAACCCGACTAGAGCTGCAGCTAGACTCTGGAACAAACAAACTGATCAAATAAAACTGCAGCGTCATGGTTTCACTCTGAGCCTCGTTCTGAGGCTTCAGCTCGTTCATAAAAGCAGAAGAAGGTTCAGCAGGTTCTCTGTTCAGCCTGCAGCCTGGGCTGAAGGCGGTGCTGCAGCTGGAGGCCGGGTTCTGGAGCCCAAAGACCAGAACTGACACTTTAATCAGTTAATGGAAGAAAAGATCCTTTAAAGACGGAACGAGTTGAAAAGCTCAGTTCAGTCACCTTTTGTTCTGAAGATCCACCGTGTTCAGGTACCACACCTTCAACACACACACACACACACACACACACACACACACACACACACACACACACACACACCTTCCTGTGCAGGAATCCTTCTTATCTGTACAATCAGTGTCATTCAGAAGGAACCACACCCAGCCTGAGTGTGTGTGTGAGAGTGTGTGTGTGTGTGTGTGTGTGTGAGAGTGAGTGTGTGTGTGTGAGACAGGTCAATATTGACTCTAACAGATAGCAGCGTGTCAGCACACAGTGAAAGGTGTGTGTCCATGATAAGGTGTATTTCAAAGGGAGTGGAGGGGCTGAGTCACCTGGTCGCCGTAGCAACGGGTGTCGTCCCGTATGGAGTGGTGACAGACGGACTGTACACAGACCCAGTAATTATATATATGAGCTGAGAATACGCTGAACCTGTACATCACCTGGAGAAGGTTCAGCTCTGGAACTTTTCCAGAAGATGGATCTCCACAAAGAGATGTTCATGAATTAAAACTGTCAAAAGTAAAATAAGTGTCTCCTGGACTCTGACTGGACCTCCAGAACTTCACCTCTTCAAACCATCTCTGTGGAGCTTTGGCTGTTTGCTTTGGCTCTAAAGTCTCACGTCTCAGTTCTCCTGCATCAGGTTGTCCTCCAGGATTTCTCT